ATTTTGTAATTATTACCGAAACTTAAGAGAATGTTGCAAGGAAATTAATCTCTTTTTCGTCGAAAATTTCGCAAGGATCTCTGCGCGAAAGATTTCAAATGAGAGTCAGATGATTAATAGAGTGGGAAGAATTACAAATGATGCAGCCTTATTAGTGCAGGAATGCATTATGACATTTCAGCTATGCGCTGTGTTTTCTTCTTGCATTTAAAAATAGTTTTAGAAGCGAGCATATGCTCCCCCAGAATAATCGTCACTTTCACGACCGTCCTCGCGTCGCGTCCTATCGTTGAATTTGACCCAGTTTAACAGTGGTACAAAATGCTCCTGTTATTTGAAATAATTGACAAGCCGAAACTTCATTTACCCCACGGTGTATACATGGTTTAATCTCATCGTTCAACACGTTCGTTAGATTTCTCGTGGTTTCGTTTTATCGTCTCGTTATTAAATTCAATGAAGAATCATCGCGTTGTCTTCAAATAGTTATACGTGGTATTATCTTCGCATGAATATGGATGACGTGCGCTTATAATTAACGCACACTCACGCGGATCACGTGTCATTCTTCTAATGATCGCGCGACGATTTGCATAATCATCCGTTACTTTGATTTCATGAATATGCACAAATCCGCGTGCTTAATGGCCAGGAGCAACACGCGGAAAGATATTTTTCTGATGATGGGCTGTCCCGCTGGAATGTGGTAATACAACGTAGCAATAACACCGGTGCAACGAATGATATTTCTGATATTTTAATCTCTAATTAGGCTATTAGAAGTCGCAACGTGACTTAAAGTCATTGCAGGCGAATGTAAAATAAAAGCATCGGAATTTTAATAAATTTTAGTAATCGAACGTGAATTACTACCGTCATCCATGAACTAAATTAAATGTCAATAATATCAACACGTTACGATCGAATTTATATCTTCTGTCCAATCAAATAAGCAAATAAATTTTTGTACTCTATTTAACGTTTCTACGAGTGTTTCTCATCAAAGAGTGTTTCTAAATTTCCATCGTTTCTTTGATGACCACCAGAATAGAAATAATTCGATTTCCTCTATTTACAAGTAGCCGCAATAGTTCTTAACCGTACGTGCAATGGTCGCAAAATTCCGTGGAAAGAAACAATGATCGGCAAGCGACGCCCTCGTTCGATCACAGCACGACCGGCACGTAATTAAGCCGTAGGTAATTCTTTTCGTTTGAAAGGAAAAGACCCGTTCACCGTTATTGTCTCTGGACTCTTCAATTTCCGTTCTTCCTGCTTCAGCCTCGCCTTTGTCGTCGACTTCTCTTGTGAGAAGTCAGCTAACCGTGAGACGTCGACGACAGAAAGAAAGGGGCACTTTGTTACGAGGAAACACCTCGTGGAACGCACTCGAGACATTCTTGTTCCGTTGAAACGCGATCCACTTCCTCTGAACTCAAATCTAAAATACGACGCGGAATACTTGACGCGCTTGCTGAACGTTAAATTTAATACACGACGCTGAGAGAACGATTCGTGATTTTCGGCACGACGCGAAGAGAACCAGTGACAATTGGAAGCGTAGTATATTTAGCGAGTTCAGCTCGGATTCTATCAATTTTTCGCATGCATTTAGAAGATACTGGCGCAATTTTTTTAATTGCTGTCTTTTGCACGACCGAATTTTAAAAGATTGAAACACCGTTGAAACGTCTGTTTCTCAAAAATGGCATTTCGTCAGGTGACGAAACTTCAGCCTATCTTCTCAAGTGTGATGAAAACCTGAAAAGCATTCTATCAACGTCGCCCGGCTCAAAAGTTCGCACTCACGGTTAAACCGAATCGCGCGACCATCCTTAAAAATAATCAGAGCAGCGCAGTTAATTGGTCATTTTCTCCCAACCCGGGGAGCAAAATGTTCATTCGTGAGACTTTTGTTGATTCGCGCGTCTCGTCGTCAATTGTTTGAGGTTTTTTTTTCAAATCTCGTCGACAAGAAAAGATTATGAAGACTATGAACGAAAAATAAGGCGTAGGAATAGGATGTTTATTAGATACACAGGGAATTTCTCGTTTGGGCGGGTATGAAGCTCGAACCAGGAGGCGGCATTCCGCCGATCGTGGCTGTGTGCCTACAATTATCGCGGTTTTCTATTATGGTACCCGGGCCAGTCGGTTCAGACCAGGCTAACGCGCGCTTTGCTGTGTGCTCTCTTTGCATTGCTACGTTCCCACGTGCCTCTGCGAATACCTCCACATGCTATACACGACTAATGCCCGGCCTTTCTGGCCTCCGGCTGACTTTTCCTCGGACTAATGGTCGCCTACCTTGGCTCCTCTGGACGATATTTCGGTGGTACGAAACTAATAAGTGACCGAGCGAAAATAGACGCGCGCGGCGTGGTACGGCCCTCTGCCGAGAGGCGCGGAGAAAGAGGAAGAAGGAGAGCGAGTGCGAGAGTTTTCTGGCAACGAGAACTCACGAATATTAAATCCTTCGCAGTCGAACCACGTCTGCGATGCGGTTACAATTAGTAGCGGTCTACTTGAACGGCGCATTTGTTGTGCCAAACGTGCCTCCCCCTGTTTCCTCGCGACTCGTTCGAGGATCAGACCACTGCCTCCCAGAAATATTGCTCGCGCTCGCATCGAGTCGTTCGACCAGACGTCGAAATATTCGAACGATCGTGGAAATACTTTATAAGCTGAAAATGTGCTTAAATAGAAGCTATGGGATAAATAGGTACATTTTCCAGAAATTAGAAAAATGTTTGAATAGTCGTTTAAATTATATTAATAATTGTATATAATGCCAACATCCAATACTGTCATCTTTATCATTTATTTATATGTTTAAGATGGCTATACAGTATTAATGTGCACGTTCATTTGTATGTTAAGATACAATAAATAAATACATATGACACGCAGTAGATTTCAAGTCAACAACGTTAATGAAATTTCAAACAATATATACACAGATTTCTCTCTTCCGTTTCTTGGAGATTGTGAAGTAGAAAATTTTTGGGCATATTGAGCTTGAAAATCAAAGTTCGGCGTTGGCGTAGATGCTCCAGTTTCTTTGAAACGTGTACCGAGCTAATAGTCGAAATAAAAGTATAACGTCATCCTGAACGATGAATGACAGTCAACGAACTGCGTTATTGTACGCCACTTTGTAGTCACTTCGAGTTACAAGACAGCGACTACTAAGGCAACCTGAACTCTCTCGTGCTTTCTCGTCGTAAAGCGAGAGATTCTCTGGAAACGTTTCACCTTTTGTCGAAATAAACTTTCGAACAATTTTAATCGACAGTCCATCAAAAAATCCACTCCTTTAAACGCTGTTTTCTTTCATGTAAAATTTGTTCGATTTTATCGATCAATATCAACGGCAATAAGAGAACGTTGGAGACAATTCCCATCGAGAATTTTGTATGTATCGACGTATCTTCCTTTCCAACGGAAATGCCACAAAACCGTTTCGATATTTTTCATTGAGATTCTTCGATGTCAAACCTTTGAAATTACTCGAGTAGTCATCGAACAATCGCAGAATTTTGCTCTTGTGTGGAATTAAATTAATTTAATTGGAGGAAACCGATTTCTGAAAAAAAAAAA